TGCTTGTTTGTTCTGGTTGAAAGTTCATGTTTTATATTCACAAGGTGTGGTTGTTTGTCGTGTTTGGTGAGGCCAGTGCCGAGTCAAGGGAAGGGGGTGTTATGTGTTCTTAACCGCAACAAACCATTGTGGGAGAACCACCGCTGGGATTGTAAGGCAACCTGTCGCCGACCATGTCTGCAAAGCTCGAGGCTGGAAACGTGCTTGCGAGATGGGCCATTCAGATGATCCAGCTCTGTTTGCAACACGGTGTTCCAGTGGCACTGGAGAATCCCAAGCGCAGCTATCTCTGGAAGATTCCAGAACTGGCGAAGCTGCTGTAGCTCAAGAAGCTGGTTCAGTACATTTTTGAATGCTATTTTTGGGATAGGACTGGTGTCATCATTGGTGTAGTTTAGACTACACAGGCAGCACAAGCGCGCAGCGGTCTTTGTCTTCGACCATTGCCAGTACCACACCGCAGCTCCCGTGCACAACTTCAAGAAATCGACCATGGTGGCGACATGGAACTGTAAATACTTTTCCCTGGATGAGGTCATGCTGACCTGCCATGGTTGTAAATGTACAAAGACAGGTGAAGTGCACATGAAGTTGTCAGGACTGCAGCCTGCAGCTGAAGGCAGGAAGAAGCTGGGCTGGTGGACTTCGCATGGGGCCGCTTATCCATGTCAGTTTTGCCAAAAGTTTGCAGTGAAGATGTCAGGGCAACATTAGCTATGTAGACATTCGACAGGATGAACAAATCCCGGTGACATATTTTCTGGCTTGATCAAGGTCTGCCTAGCTAATGTTGCCAAACAGCACACACCCGTGCTGTAATCGAAGGGCTTTCAGGGGTTTGGTCCACGTTCCGGTGCACGGTCAGCTGCTTAAGCAGCCCGACAAAGAAATACAGTCACCGAAATATTCATCTGAAGCCAAAGGCCAGCTTCCCAAGATCATTTAAGATTAAGATCCGCGGAACATATTCATGCAATCGAAAGGCCGTGGCGAGGTAGGGTATAAGGTGGGCCTTGAACCCTAAGCCCAAAACCCTTAACTCTGAGCCCTGTGCCTTAAGGCCTAACATCAAGGCACTAATTGCAAAGCATCTTTACAAACGTTGAATCGCAAGTCGTGTCATGACCGCTTGCACATTGCATTTTGCTGGGGAAGTGTTTCAAGTCAGGACCACTCATGCAATGTTTTGCTGCCGCTGCAGAAGCCAGTGTCTGTTTGTTGTCCCTTGTGTGTGTGTGTGTGTGTTATGTTTCAGATTGCACCTGAGCCTGTGCCAGAGGATTGATCATTGCAAGGGACCACCTTAGTTCTTGTTGCAAATCACCAAGGACCTGCCTGTCGTGTTTTGGTGCTTTGTCAGACCCTGGTCACTTTCTGGTGTGCAATGAAGACTTCTTACGTGAAACGAATATCCTGCAGAATGCACAGTATCAGCACCAGATTGGACGAAGCCATGATGACGTGTCTCACAATGATGGCAACATCTTGTAGGCAGCCGATCGTGTATGCCATATGTTCATTAGACAACGCAGGATGATTGGCAGGCGACCTACAGCTTGTTGCAGAGCAGCCAAGAACATCTGATGTTCTTTTGGGGGTTTGTGGGGCAGCTCACTTTCATGTCTGCATCCACTGCTTGATTAGAGCATTTGAATCCTAAACCCACCAGATCATTATGCTCGAGGAATGCAATCATGGCAAGACGTGTGTGTCCAGTGAGGCAGTGTTTGTGAGCTGCAAAAGCTGGAGAGCCAGCCCAGAAAGTTGGCGTGCAAGGCTTGAACGAAGCACGGCCAGCAAAAGTCTTGTGGCTTGAAGTTTTCCAGATTTCGGGTTTCAAGTGTTGAACGCCGGGGTTTAGGGTTTAGGGTCGTAGCAGTAAGGCGGCCAAGGCTGGGAGTTTTGTGGGTCTAAGATGGCAGGGGCTGGAAATTAATAGCCGATTCAGTTTATTCCATGAACTGGCAAGGTGCCACGCGCAGCTAACCTGGGCTACTTGACTGCCTTCGATCATGCACTGCAGTGCATGAACTCATTTGGGCTGGCAGCATTCTTGCCTCGACGAGCTGTGGGCGCACTCCAGGCAAGGAAGTGGGGTTCAATGCAGAACATGAATTACCTGGAAGTAGCTCAACATTTGGGTGTATTAAATTTCAGTTGTCATACTGTGGTACAGTCACCACAGGCTGGGGCTCGACGATATTTTGTGGAACAGATCTGCCCAGTCAGTGGCGAGTCCAGGAAGCGCTCATGCGTTGAGACGGTGGATGGCGATCGCCGGTATGAGGTTCCCATGCGTGTGGAAAACAAAGAAGCTTTGCTTTCAATGCGGTAGTTTACATTGAGGGTTCCAGGCCTGCCCAGTAGGAGGCTTGCCTCACAGGTTGTTGTTGATTATCTGGCAGACTCCAGTCAAGGACATGGTCCGGCCAACTCTCCACCTAAGCCAAGACCAAGGCTCAGCTTCTTGGCTGTCTGGTATGTTCCTTGCGAGCAAGCTGCGTGCCACCCTGACATGGGATATTTTCCATCGGCTGCATCTGGGCACCAGTTAACAGCGCTAGTTCAGTTTCTAGCTTGTCAGCGTTGCAGGGGAATAAGTGGGTGGCATGTCATGGTATCGAACCGAGAAAACCAAGGCACAATGATGTCTTATCTGCAGCTACAAGTGCAGGCCTTCACCTCTCCAGGCTAGAGGCGGCTTCTACGTGCAAGATCCGACGGGGGCCATACACAACTGACAACAATCATGGCACCATCCAAGCAGCAGCACGTGCACTGACGACTTTGCCATTGACCAACGTTTTCTACCAGATGTGCCTGTGAGAAACTAAGAACTTCGGACTCCTGAGATTTTTCATTGTGATCATTCTTAGTCTTGGCAGTCAACTTGTCAGGCACTTCATTGTTGTAGGCCAAATTGTGTGCAGGTTTTACACCGACATTTGTGCAGATCTGGGTGAAGTGCCCCAAGGCACTGAGGAGCACATGGCCAAAATTTGGAAAACCGCTTCTGAACTCATGCTTTCAGCTGGCTTGGGCATTGCTCAAAAAAAAAGCCGGTGGTTCTCATTGGAAGAGCTTTCGCGGCAGCAGAAGCGGCTGCGATCAGTGCTGTTGATGACACTACTGTGCCTGAACTGTGAAATTACATTTAGACCACACTTGCTTGAACCAGCTTCAGCCACTGCATTTCTGAATTCGAAAGCCCGAGGTACTGGGGCTTCCAGAAAAAATGGTGGTCCAACTGGGATGAAACACCTTTGTTCGCTGATGCAGGAGTCGTCGAGGTGGCGGACAGTGAAGAGGAGGATGGTCAAGACAGCCAGGAGGCTGTGCCGGACAGGGACATAGCCCGCAGAGGCCAGACCCTGCAGGCCTCACGTCAAGAGCAGCAGAAGCGTCAGGCAAAGCTGGGCGCCAAGTTGCGATATGTTTGCTCGGTGGCCTGGCTCATCTCATGAGGCTCGAACCCTTTAACCCCACGAAACCTTCGTCATTAAGGACTTTCACCACAAACACCCGAACATGAAAGCCCGCTGCAGTAGACTTGTCCCCTAAGGTGATGAGGTTATGTCATCATAGCAGAGCCCGGCTTGTAACATGTTAGGTTCTTTGTCGGGAACAGACATTTCTGGAAATGGATGGCATGGAGTTTATTGAGCGGCCACTGGAGAAATACAGCAAAAAAGGAATGAGCATGGTGCAGACGAAGCTTGCCATTGATCTTTTGTTTACCATGTTTCTTTACAACCGTTTTCCTTCTCTAAAGAACAAGTGGTGGCAGACATCTGTCCCGGGCCAGTAAGATGGGCAGTCTGGGACAACCCAAGGAAATGGGGCACCCGGGATTTCATGCAGTCACTTTGCTGTGATGGCTTGGTGGCCACGATTACAGGTGCATTGGCAAACTTTGTCTCGGTGGAGTTTGTGGAGTATCTTCAACTGCCGACACCGAGTCAATCAGAGCCAGTGACTTCAGCTGTCCGGAAGACAACGAACAGTGCTTTGAAGGCGCTGTGGATTTTCTGCTACAGCACCCTCGATGCAGAAAGCAGGCTACTCGATACACGTTCTTGGCTGTAAAGGCTAACGGCTCGTGTAGCTGTCGAGGATATCCTGAACCTGAAGCCCCCAAATTCATTCAACTTTTTATGATAACCATGGCTTGGTGGGGTGAACACTTTGGAACATGATTGACTTCCTGAGTGAAGAAGCTTGTCTTCTTTTCAGTTGCGGCTAGTAAGGTTTGTCTGGTGCGGTGGCCGTCACACAAGCAAAGTATTGGGTGGTGCCTCACTGCTTCATCAAGCTTCTCAACCCTGACCAGGACTGCCAAGCGGCTGCCTTGGGTAGTCTGAAATGTGTCCTGGAGAGTGTGGAAAAGCTGGAGAAGCACAGAAATGATGCTCGGTGCCTTACAGAAGTGAACCTGTAGAGCAAGGATGTCTAAGTACACTTTTCAAAGAACAAACATGGGTAGTTTAGGTCTTAGCCATTAGGAATCATAGCAAGGAAACACGTGCAGATGCACGTGGCGTCACACAGTTCCTGTCCGACTGCGAGTGGCCGCTCCAAACATTTGTGCGAGAAAATTTGATCTTCCTGTTAGAGGATGATTTTGCGAAGGTGCCAAAATGGCTGCGTGCAGATATCGAGGCCTATGCTACAGGCCATTGCTCAACACTTTTAATCGAAAATCTCTTTCGTCAAGGCCGTAAAGCTGGCAGAGACTGTCCAACAGGCAAGCTGGAGGCACGGTCATTCTGGCACGCTATGGGGCAGAGTGGCAAGGTGCTTGACGACTTTGACCGGCCAAACATCAACGGCCAACCCAAGACCTCTGCTGTCTCGGGGAGCTCAGCTTCGTTGCCCAAGAACTGTTTTGTGCCACAGCCACGTGGCTTTGAGAATCTTGTGTCAGAGGGTAGCTAGATGTATTTCTAGGTACTGACTTGGAGTACCACAGTTTAAAGGTTAAGACGTTGTAACTGAGGAAGGAATCCCACAGCCTGGGTGAAGATTTGCTGGCTCAGCTGACTGCGAATTCACCCGATTGGCCCAACCATCATGCAAAGTCCAACAAAGAAGCGGCGTTGGCGACCTTGGCATTGGTTGCCACTGGAGGCAACTGGCAAAAACTTCAGTTCAGTTGGCTGAGCCTGTTGATGATTCCAGGAACATACTGTACCGACGGCAGTGTGAAGATTCTCGTTCTGGATTCCAGCCGCTATGGCTTCATGGCCGTGAAGTGCCGGAGTTTCACACGTGGACAAGAGCGGTATGTGGATGTGGCTGACCTGCCAGAGAAGCCCTTGGTGTTTGATGTAGTCCTGAGAACTGACAAGTGGCGTTGCGTGGACGTGAGCCCAGTGGCTTGTATAAGTTAGGATGGCTTCACAATTTGCTGAACACCTAAGTGTGAAATAGTCCACGAAGATTCTGCTGAACTTGTTTGGTTGGGTGGTTTGTTTGATTTGTGCATTGTGCACCATTGTGTGCAAAAGGTACTTCCAGCAGATAGTCGCAACCGAACCGTGCACCTGCAGTTGATGCAGGGCAGCGGGGCAGGTCTGCTCAAATTCAGTGTCCGGCACGGCCTCCCCAGCATGACTGTGCCGTTCATGAAGAAGTTTTGCAAGATGCAGGGAATCACGTTGCCGACACCAGCAACAGAAGTAACCGTTTTGCAAGCCATCGCAGCTTCAGTTTTCAAGGACGGCATGAACGATGCATTGATGAGAGAAATCTTGCTTGCACGCAACAGAGCACGGCGTGGTTGGCAGGCCTGGGTGGCCACAAATGAAACCGGCTGTGGGTTCGCCAGCCAACCCGCCCGTATCCAATCCTTCCGCCGGTGCATCATAAATCATAACCGTAAACCCAAAACCCTCCACCTGAAACCCACAGACATAACCCTAACCACCCAGCCAGACCATGGAGTAGAGAGGAGGTGAGCCAAACCACGCCGCAAGTGGGGAGGGGGGGGGGGGGTGACGGCCGGACCCTCATCATAAATACCAACTTCCACCTCATGTAATATCCACTGCTGTCACAACCTCACCATGGAAAGAAAATAGGAGTGGTTCACAAGAGGGTTTTATTAGGGCTCGAAGTTGTTGTGAAGGCTCTGAGTACTGGGGGCACCAAGATTTTGAGTGGTACTACTTGGTTGAGTGTGTTTTCAAGGTGACTGCTGGAGGGGCCAGGGTTGTGTTTTGTACTAGGGGTGGTTAGTGATGACAGAGAAGAGATTAGACGTCGGCTTCACATTGTTTCATGCCTGGAAGGCTTCTGATGTGTCAGACCAAGCCACTCTGGAACGCATGGAAAAGCTGCTGGCTGCAGATGATGAAGAGGTCATGACTTGGGACGACGTTGAACTGGAGCAGGACATCGAAAGATGCAAAGCAAGGCGGGCTGCGGCTAAGGCACGGGTTGAAGCAGCAGAAGCCGAGCTGATGGCAGCCATGCGTCCTGGATGGGATCGGGCAGTTTGTTCTTATGACAACGGTCCCAGTTAGACCGACCACCCAACTCACCCAACATTGCCAGCATAATGTTTTCAAGATTCTTTAGTCTGGCTGTTACCTGTGGGGTTTGTGCATGAGATGGTCAGGGCAGGTTCAGTGCAAAGAAGTACTCAGGTCCTCAACAGCGAAAGCAGCTGCAACAACCTCGGCGTCTTCATCTTCTTCGGCTGGTCCGACAAGGAAGAAAGCCATACAATGGCCGGCAGATGGCATGAGCCAGAGAATGGCAAAAACTTACCTTCCAGAAGGGCCCGGATACAAGATATCAAAAGAGAAGGTGCCGAGCTTAGTGTAGTCTACTTTAGGGTCATTTTGGCACATACATGTCTGTGCAACCGCCAGCAATGCACAGATAGTTGTTGCAGTTGCTTCCTCGTGTCAGGAATGGGATCATCGCTGGAAAATTACTTGGACCACACAAGCTGGGGATGCAGTGACGAAAAGCATATCGTTTCAGACGCCAGAGGCAGGCAACGAAGCTCTGCGGCAACTCCTACAACAAGTATGGGCAACACATACACGCAAGACAGGTGAAGTTTGTCCTTTTATGTTGGACAGAATATCTTGATGTCCGGCGCTGAATGGCAAAGTGCAGAAGATGAAAAGTGCGTCAACGTCGGGCTAGCATTGTGTGCCAGAACGATGCACTGATGCATTGTTCCAGCTTGTTTCTTTCCTTTCATGAACTCCCATGGGCAGGTCAGATCTGCCAGCGGCATCCAGCAGAGAGTGGCAGAGGCCGGCAAAGCCCCCAATGGTAATGGGTTTGGGGTTTAGGTGTTGGGTTGAGGGTCTCCCCCTCCCCCACATTGCAAGATTCATCCCCTGCATTCTTTTCATTGATCTGATGGCAAATAGATTAAATAGCGATGCAAAAAGCATGGGGCACCCAACTCCTGGCAGGATCTTCTGTGACATGGCCTGGAAAGCTTTTAGCCAAACACCCTGTCATGGCAGAGAAGGTATTCAGAATGCAATGTTTGTAAGGCGACATGGCCCAGGCGGCATGTTTCACATCTGACAGAACTCACTACCACGAGAATGGAGCCGATTAGGGCCTGCTTCTGTGTGGTGGCCTGAACTACAAAGCTGTAAAACCGAAGAGCGCTCAAGACCTCCGGACCTCTACAGAATCACCCCAAAAGCCCTGACACTTAGCAAACCCTAGAAATCATTAGGCCCAACCACCTCAAGGCCTCCAAACCCTAAACCCTAAACCCTAGACCGGGCTGTGCAGCTCTAGGACACTGGGCTGTAAAGCCCCAGGGCAATGGTCTGTGAAGCCCTAGGCCGGGCTGTAGAGCCCCAGGCTAATTAGACCTCAAACACTAAACCCTTCAAACCCGAACTAAACCGGGCGGTGTAGCCCCAGGACAATGGGCTGTAAAGCCTTAGGGGGGCTGTAAAGCCCTAGGCCGGGCTGTATAGCCCTAGGCTAATTTCGGCCTAAACCCCAAACCTAACCTCAAACACTAAACCCTTTAAACCCTAAACCCTAAACCGGGCAGTGTAGCCCTAGGACAATGGGCTGTAAAGCCCTAGGCCGGGCTGTATAGTCCTAGGCTAATTTTGGCCTCAACCTCAAACCTAACCTCAAACACTATACCCTTCAAACCCTAAACCCTAAACCGGGCTGTGTAGGCCTAGGACAATGGGCTGTAAAGCCCTAGGACAAGGGGCTGTAAAGGCCTTGGCCGGGCTGTATAGCCCTAGGCTATTTAATTTTGGCCTAAACCTCAAACCTAACCTCAAACACTAAACCCTTCAGCCGAAACCGGGCTGTGTAGCCCTAGGACAATGGGCTGTCTAGTCCTAGGACAATGGGCCTTGCTGGGTCATGGGTGAACCCCTAGGCTGGGCTGTGTAGCACTAGGCCAATTTCGGGTTGTCTATTTAGTGCTAGCGTCATGGGCTGTGAAGCCCTAGATGTGTCGCCCCAGGGTCATGGACTGTGAAGCCCTAAAATAGCCTCGATGTTTGAAACCCTGAAGCACTTCCTGTACCTCAGGTTGGCAACCTCATTACTGTGGACTTGACAAATCCAAGCAGACGCAGGCAGGACCTTGTGTTTCTTCAGTTGGGGGTTTGGGAACCATTCACAACCCCATTTCTCCTACCAGTACATGGCCAGAAGAAAACCACCCAAATCCTCAAAGAGATGATAATCTTAGGGCGGGGTTCTCATCCTGGTTTCTGCTTCAGGCTTCACCCCTCCACCCTAACTCGGTAGAGGTTTGAAAAAGGCTAGGCTGTGGGATCCTGTTTTGGGGCAAGGGTCTTAAGATTCGGGGGTGGATGACTTGAAGATTCAGGAGGAACGCCAAACCTTAAGCCCGAAACCCTAAACCTAAACCCTGAACCCTAAACCAGAAGTCAAAGGCTGGTGCCATGATAGTGCAAATGTAACTGTTGCTGTCCCATGCAGCATTTGACCTCGACACAAGTTTCCAGTTGACGGTGCCCGACCCACCCGCCATCCATTGTGGGCTCGCATGGCTTTGATCGTTTGCCCCGTGTGTGGACTGGAATGCTACAGCAAGCAGCTTGCACCGAGCCAGTGGAAACGTGGTGGCTGTGATGTTGGATGGCTTTTCAGCTGCCGTGCTTGTGGCTCGTATGATAATTGGCAGTATTCCTTGTTGTTTCCAGTGGCAAGGGTGCCCTAGACCATAAATCCTACTGTAAATGTTTTATAGTGTTTCTGGCGAAGGCACTTTGGAGCGCCGTCCCTTGGCAAGCTCCATGTGCTACCACTGGAGGATGGCAAACTGGTACCTGCGTCATTTAAAGTACCATAGTGATGTGGAAGATGACGTCAGACGCATTGTGCTAGAGGAGCAGAGCCACAACGTGCTGCATGTGCGGTATCCCAACGTCGAAAGCCCCTTCAAGGTCGACGTGGGACATCGCATTATGTCACTTGCCGTTACCCTGCTTTGTTCTGAGCTCGCCGGTGCGTGGTGCAACCATATCACCTATCTGACGCAGGGCACCTGGATGGAGGCATACATCGTATGGGTGTATGAGCGTGCGCCTGGGCACCAGCAACAGTTGGACGTCGAGAGCTTCCTTTGGCATTTGTTCAACTGCGTCAAGTTTTCGTCGATGGAGGCAGATGAGATGGAGCAGCTTCGAGTGGACAACGCCGACTGGAGAACAATGTCACTGCATTTTTGGCAGCGCTGTGGGTGGCGGTGAACTTGTACAGAACCTAATTTGGAATTGGCTGGCCTAATTTCGGAACTCGCTAGCCTAGCCTGGCCTGCGCATGCCATGGCTACAGGGCTTGAGGTTACTGTACTACTGTAACGTAAACTGCTGGTTGCAAGTTGTCACAAACTTACATGTTCTTAGTGTGCATGGCTGCGATCATGGCCGTGGCAGATTTTGAATCGCATTTCTGTATGTCAGGAATCGGCTGGATGTGTGTGCCTGTAAAGTGCCAAGCCAGCCTTTTTTCGCAGGACACTGAGCCGCCGTACCGAGCGATCACAGACCTGAATCCTTGCAACCCTCGTCGTGGCTCCTCTGTACACACCCTTGTAAAATTGAGTCTGTGGGTTGCTGGCTTGCAGCATTGTATTCTGCCTGGACAGCACGCGAGATGTGCCCAAAGAGCGTTCCCTTCTCAAGCTTTGAGCTGTGTTGGCTGCAGTAGCTCTTTTCATTTTGCCAAAAACCTTAAAATGTAGGGCCCCTGAACCTGTCGAACGCTTCCAGGAGAAGAGGAGGCGGTGGGAAAGCCAACAAGGACGGAGCCGAAGAGTGTTTTTTTTTGGAAAACACTCAACCTGGACTGTCAACCCTCGACCCCAAACCCTAAACCCCCTCAACCCCGAACCCCAAACCCTAAACTCTCTACACCCTAAGCCCTAAGCCGTAAGCCTTAGGGGCTGGCCTAGTATAGGCCTAGGCACCCTAAACTACCCGAAACCTTAAACCTGAAGCCCTAAACCCCTGGGCCTAAACACCAAAGCCTAGACCCTCAACCCTGAACCCTAAACCCTAAACCCTACATCCTAAACCCTAAACCCTAAACCCTAAACCCTAAGCCCTAAGCCCTAAGCCCTAAGCCCTAAGCCCTAAGCCCCAAGCCCCAAGCCCCAAGCCCCAAGCCCCAAGCCCCAAGCCCCAAGCCCTAAACCAACCAAACCCTAAGCCCGAAACCCGAAACCCTAAACCCTAAAGCCTAAAGCCCTAAACCCTAAACCCTAAACTGAAACCCTAAAGCAGGCTGTGTAGCCCTAGGACAATGGGTTGTAAAGCCCTAGGTCGAGTTGTATAGTCCTAGGCGGCCTAAACTACCCGAAGCCTTAAACCTTAAACCTTAAACCCTAAACTCTAAACCCTAAACTCTAAACCCTAAACTCTAAACCCTAAACCCTCAACCTTAAACCCTAAACCCTAAACCCCAAACCCTAAACCCTAAACCCTAAATCCTAAACCCTAAACCCTAAACCCTAAACCCTAAAACCTAAACCCTAAACCCTAAAGTGCAGCCCTAGGACAGTGAGCTGTAAAGCCCAGGACAAAGGTGTAACTTTTGTCGGGTACCCGACGGGGTACCCGCATGGCTCCCCAGAATTTAAGCCTAAACCCTAAGCTCTAAACCCTAACACCAAAACCTCCTGAGATGCATTTTGCATGTTACGATACTTGTGCCTGAATCCTTGAACGTTTAAAGCATCACCATGAGTCTCGTATCACACCTTAGGGTTTAGGTGTAACTTAAAACGCCAAGTGGCTGATGAACTCTTCAAACCCTAAACCCTAAACCGGGCTGTGTAGCCCTAGGACAATGGGCTGTAAAGCCCTAGAACAATGGGCTGTAAAGCCCTAGGTCGGGCTGTATAGCCCTAGGCTAAGTTTGGCCTGAGCCCCAAACCTAATCTCAAACACTAAACCCTTTAGACCCTAAACCCTAAACCGGGCAGTGTAGCCCTAGGACAATGGGCTGTAAAGCCCTAGGCCGGGCTGTATAGTCCTAGGCTAATTTTGGCCTCAACCTCAAACCTAACCTCAAACACTAAACCCTTCAAATCCTAAACCCTAAACCGGGCTGTGTAGCCCTAGGACAATGGGCTGTAAAGCCCTAGAACAATGGGCTGTAAAGCCCTAGGTCGGGCTGTATAGCCCTAGGCTAATTTTGGACTGCGTCATGGGCTGTGAACCCCTAGGCTGGGCTGTGTAGCACTAGGCCAATTTCGGGTTGTCTAGCCCTAGGGTCATGGGCTGTGAAGCCCTAGGTATGTAGCCCTATGTTGTTAGCCCTGAAACACTTCCTGTACCTCAGGCGCTGCAACCTCATTATTGTGGACTTGACGCAGACGCAGGACCTTGTGTTTCTTCAGTTGGGGGTTTGGGAACCCTTTGGTGAACACCTAGGCGGCTGTGTAGTCCTAGGGCAGTCTAGCCATAGGGTCATAGGCTGCGAAGCCTTAAATTAAAATTAGCCCCGAGGGTCATAAACCCTGAAACAGTTCCTGTGCCTCAGGCTTGTAACCTCATACACCCCAGATCTTAAGTGTTTCATTTGTGAAAGGCCTTCGGGCTCGAGACAGGGCAGTTGCTGGGTTTCATGTTTCTAGCATATATCACCTTCTTAAATTCTTGCTTCTAAGCCAAAGTAGACGCCAGACTTGGCCTGGCCTGAATCCCTAGGGATTGGTGCCAGATTTATATTGCTAGAATTGGACCCTTAAGCCCCACATCATGGCTGCCGACACGCACTCGAAACGACTGTGTCTCGGTGGCACCATGGCTACGGTGGAGGTCAGTTTGCTGAGTGGCAGGTCGGTGCGTTTGGAGGCCAACCTGGCGGTGACTGTCGGTGCGTTCCGGGATCGCTCCCGGCACGCGTTGGCAGCTGAGCGGGGTCGCCTTCTTTTTCAAGGCAGTTATTTGATGTCCACACATACACTGGCCGAAGCCGGCATCAGCGATGGCTCCCAGCTGCAACTGGTGGCTATGCCCGTGCAGGTCGTGGGTGCTGAAAAAGCATTTGCCGCCATTCGGGGCGATGGGTCCGTGGTTGCCTGGGGTGATCCTGAAAATGGTGGCGACGCCAGTGCTGTACAAGATCAGCTCCAGGATGTTGTGCAGGTGCAGAACACAAGCTATGCTTTTGCTGCCCTTCGGAGTGATGGATCTGTGGTGACGTGGGGTGACCCCGAATCTGGTGCCGACAGCAGCTTTGTGCAACATGAGCTGCACGATGTCAGATGCATCCAGGGTGGCGTCACCGTTTTTGTGGCAATTCGCACCGATGGGACAGCTGTGACCTGGGGTGAAGGTGCCTTTGGTGGTGACAGCAGAGGCGTTCGAGATGCGCTGACGGATGTCCTTCACGTCCAGATAAACCAAGGATCATGCTGTGGGGTTGCCGCAATCTCGAATGATGATGGAGGCAGCATTGTGGCGTGGGGCGATCCCATTAATTTCGGCCAGATTGCCACTCCACACAGGCCAATTGCGCTGCAATGTACCGACGAAGCCTTCGCTGCCATCTTGGCCGACGGTTCCGTCATGACTTTCGGCCGTGATTATTTTGGTGGGGACAGCTCCTTGGCTTTCTTCTGGCTGGCTCTTACAACTTTAACCTTTTGTGCTTTTGTACAAACTATTATAATAAATAGCCTAAAAGTTATTTTTCAGGAGTGTTCGAACGTCAGCCTCTTTAGAGGAGTACTTGTCTAACCCTAGCTACCCCCTTTGGCCACTCCCTCAACCCCAAAACCTGGACCCCTCCGGACCCTGCGCCCTCAACCCTAGGCAGTGCAGTTCAAGACCAACTACATGACGTGAGGGCTATCAGTGCCACAGGAAGCGCCTTCGCAGCTATTCGGCAGGATGGCTCTGTGGTGACCTGGGGTGGTGATCTTGGGGGTGGCAACTGCAATGACGTGCGTGCTCAGCTGGTGGACGTGCAGCAGATCCAAGCCACCAAAGGTGCTTTTGCTGCTATCTTGGCAGACGGCTCTGTTGTGACCTGGGGCAATCCAACAACAGGCGGCACCTGCACCCATGTGCAAAGCCAACTGAGACGTGTGTCGCAGATCCAAGTAACCGACAGAGCTTTTGCAGCTATCACGGAAGATGGCTCCGTTGTGACCTGGGGTGATGCGCGCTATGGAGGTGACAGGGCCTATGGAGCTACCAAACCGGTGGAACCACTTCAGGGCGTGCAAGCAATGCATGCAAATCATTTTGCTTTTGCAGCACTGCTCGACAATGGCGGGGTGGTGGCTTGGGGAGCACCACATGCCGGTGGTGAAACTGCTGCTGTGCTGGGCCTCTTGAAGAACGTCCGACAGATTGCAGCCTCTCACATGGCTTTTGCTGCCATCCTGCAAGATGGATCCGTTGTCAGCTGGGGCGATGAGAACCATGGCGGTGGGTTTCACCAAGACCTTAGCCAATGAGCTTCTAGGTACCAGGTAGGCCCTTGGGGAATTATGTTGTTCACTTACTGGGCAGAAAAGGATCGTATTCGGGCTGAGGGGTTGAGGGCGTTCAAGTTCAGGGCGGTCGAGGAATTTTGGCTTGAGGCTTCGCGGAATTTACGCTTTGTGCTTAGGAGTCTAAGGTCTCGCTTCTGGAGCCTAAACCCTATAGCCTTCAACCCTAGAAGCCCAACAACGCCATGATCCCTACCCTAAACCCTCAACCCTGAGTTAAGTCCCACACCGAGGAATTTAGGGTTTATGAGTTCAGGGTCTCACATCTGAAGCCCAGAACCCTGGAACCCCTGCACTCTAAACCCCGAACCCTGAATTCACCCTAATTCCTAAGTCCCACGCCCTAAGTCCTATAACCTAAGTCCTAAGCCCCTCCCTATCCCTCCCCGCCCGTCCGGCAGGACCAGACGACACTTCAGCTCCAGGTTCGGCCGGCGGCAGGTTCGGCTATTACCCCAAGCTCCCAACCCCCGGAACTCCTAAAGGCTTGTTCTTGGCTCAAAATATGTTAATCGTTGGCACCACTTGGAGCAAAATGTTTTTTGGCTGGCAGTTCTTGGTTCAAAACTATTTTGATTTGTTGGCACTACTTATAGCAAAACATCTTAATTTAGTTTTTTTGCACACACACATTCTTCCAAACATACTATTTACATACCATACAACATGGCACAGGCACAGACCCTGCAAAGGTCACCTTTCTGTAGGGTCACCTTTGGTAGTCTCCGATAATCTCCCCTTATCCCTAGCTCAGGCTCCAAGCCAAACGGCGGGACACCACAGACATCCCCTCCAGACAACCTCTCACCCACAACTCCTCTACCACCACTTGGCGACGGACTCGCTGAGGCAGATCGCTTGGCACCATAACCACGAGCATACACATTCCTTGGCCTGTTCCCAAGCTCGCCATGTCCTTCTGCACTTCTTGACCTGGCACCAGCTTCGCCCCTCTGTGCACGAGGACCATCATGGGCCCGAGACATCGACGGAACTGGTTGACGACCTTCCCGAAGAGCTCCCCGAACCCCAGAAGTCACACTTGTTGCTGCAAAGACCCGATCACCATGAGGTACACCACGATCCTCAGGAAGTGCATGAGATGCTGGGTAGGCCCGATCTCCATGAGGTACACCACGATCCTCACGAGGTGCATGAGCGAAAGAGGCCCGATCTCCATGAGGTACACCACGATCCTCACGAAGTGCATGAGATGCTGGGTAGGCCCGATCTCCATGAGGTACACCACGATCCTCACGAAGTGCATGAGATGCTGGGTAGGCCCGATCTCCATGAGGTACACCACGATCCTCACGAGGTGCATGAGCGAAAGAGGCCCGATCTCCATGAGGTACACCACGATCCTCACGAAGTGCATGAGATGCTGGGTAGGCCCGATCTCCATGAGGTACACCACGATCCTCACGAAGTGCATGAGATGCTGAGGAGGCCCGATCTCCATGAGGTACACCACGATCCTCACGAAGTGCATGTGTTGCGAAAGAGGCCCGATCTCCATGAGGTACGCCACGATCCTCATGAAGCACTTGAGTTGCGAAAGAGGCCCGATCTCCATGAGGTACGCCACGATCCTCATGAAGCACTTGAGTTGCGAAAGAGGCCCGATCTCCATGAGGTACGCCACGATCCTCATGAAGCACTTGAGTTGCGAAAGAGGCCCGATCTCCATGAGGTACACCACGATCCTCATGAAGCACTTGAGTTGCGAAAGAGGCCCGATCTCCATGAGGTACACCACGATCCTCATGAAGCACTTGAGTTGCGAAAGAGGCCCGATCTCCATGAGGTACACCACGATCCTCATGAAGCACTTGCGATGCTGAGTAGGCCCGATCTCCATGAGGTACACCACGATCCTCATGAAGCACTTGCGATGCTGAGTAGGCCCGATCTCCATGAGGTACACCACGATCCTCAGGAAGCTCAGACTGCTCCCTCATCTGCCGCTGCGCCTCATTCCATAGAGCCCCACCCCGGCCTTGTCCTTTCACATCGCCACCACCCCCAAAAGCCATCTCCCGCAATCGCTCATTTTCTTCTTGAAGGCGCTCAAGCCTTCCCTTCTGTCCTGCCAAGGCCGCTTCCACTTGTCTTCTCACCTCCTCCTGCACCAACTCCACCGGAATGGACGCCGATGAAGCATCGTCTGTTCCCACACTCCTCGGACCATGCAGCAAAGGAGCCTGTCTTGCCCAGCCTTCCATAATACGACGAGCACTGCTGGGAAACAGAGGAGGATCCCCACTTTGTTGTCCTGTCGGAGAAAAACCACCAGACATAGTTGCCGCTGCTGCCGGGTATGTTGCATGCTGCGGTGTGGAGGGGTGCGAAGTGGTATGCTGCTGCTGCAACTGCTCATGTTGTTGAACCACTAAACCACCACTACTACCCAACACTCGTTGCCTCGTAAGCGTCGTTGTCAGCGTCTCAACCTGTCCGGAAGCTTGGCGAAGATAATCCCCGAGACGACTCATCCAGGACGGGACTGGCAAGGCAGTCCCACCCTGGGAGCCTCCCGGGTGATTATCCGTACTCGCCCGCGCGACCAAGTGCGGAATCGTTGGCCCCACATTCCCAGCAGACACGGAAGACGTTTCTTGGCGAAGCCCGGAATCACAGGAAAATGTACCAGGCGGTCCCACATCTTCTGTCCTTGAAGTCATAGCTGGTGGCCATGGAGCGCTTTCCAAACTCGCTGCACCAGGTGAGGCCTGCACCATATCCTCACGCCTTACAACATCAGCCGAAAGTACCCCATTGGGCATCGCATTTCCAGCAGGATGACGATCGTAGCGCGGACCAGCAGTCTCACCTTCCAATCTCGAATCAATGGCACGCCGAGCACCAGTTGGGCTCATAACCCCTTGGTCCTCGTGAGGACCAGGGGCGGAGGGCGCAGGAGCGGCCATCGAAAAGAGGGATCTAAGGGAAACCAGGACTACACCCAGAAAGCCCCAGCTTCAACCAAACCCTCAAGACGGAAAAAACCCTGGACGGGGACCACCGGGCTAGGGGGGGTCCGGAAGAGGCTAGACCAGCCTAAGCTAGAGGAACCACCCGGGAAACACCCCCCAAAACCCTCACACCCCAATCCAGGCACGCACTTTTTCATGCTTGAGCCAAAATCCAGTCGCAATGCTTACATATGCGGAGCTCTGCTCTCGCCTGTGCCGAAGCAATGCTTACATATGCTGAACGTCCTGCACACCTGTGCTGTAGCAATGCTTACATATGCAGAACATCCTGCACACAAAGGCATGGTGCCCTTCTCCACTTCAGCCTTCTCAGAGGCTTCCCTTATCCCAACAGGTTTATGGTGCAAGGTTGTTAGGGCTTAGGAGGCCTGATATCCAGGTCTTCAAAAACATACCAGCCCTAAATTTCAACCCCTAAAGGAATAAAGGAACCCTGCCCATGTGCGAAAAGCCATGTTTAGGTAGCCTTGGCGGATGTCGCAGAGACAGGATCTCGAGCTGGCCCCATACAACGCGAAGGCTTTAGGGTATTTAAGTTTTGCCTAGGGTTTAGGGTTTAGGGTATTAGGGCGTTAGGGTGTGTTCGTATTCGGGTTTAGGGTTATGAACCAACCCGAAACAGGGCCAGAGGAGCTACCTGGTCCCTGATAAGCACCCGCCGTCTAGGATGAGGGCTCCTGCAAAAGAGGGAGAAAAGCAGGAAGGCAACACGCTCAGAGGGCGGAGCAAGGGAGGCTCATTGCAAACCCACAGAGCTCATGCTTCTGCTGCTGCTATTATACTAACAGTCCTTAGTAGGGATTATAATTAATTGGGGGTTACTATGATTCCCTGTTAAGGACGGTGAGTATAAGGGGGAACATTCCAAAATGTGACCCCCCCCTTTGAAAACAAGCACCCCCCCCCCCAAGTTTTTCAAGCTGCCTTGTGAGTGAATGTCGATGGTCGGCCCCTGCTTTGTTTGTCTTCACAGATGGCAGTTTTACCTTCGGAACCCAGAATCTACGTTTTGTAGGTTATGCCTAAAAAGCCCCTTATAGGGTTCTTAGGAAAGCAGCAAAAGCAGTAAGTTTGGGATTTGAAGGGAGCGTTTAGGGCCTTTGGGCAACAGGAACCCTCAGGTTCAACTCTTTCAAGCGCCGCCTCGCTGACGTGGCTCGGGGTTTAGGGCCTGAAACCTGGACCCTTCAGCTCAGAATCCCCCACAACCCTTGTATAACAAGCTGCGGAGTCCGTGTTGATGCCGAGCCCAGAGTCACAGGGTATCCCAGTGAACCTAAACCCTACACCCTAAACCTTAAACCCCAAGCCCCAGACCGGGCAGAGAGGACCTGGTACCCCCAAAGCCGAAACTCTAGAGACTGATGACCCAGAAGGTCCGGGTTTAGGGTTTAGGGTTCAGGGCCAGGGGAAAATTTAGGGTTTCGGGTTTAGGGTTTAGGGTTCAGGGTTCAGGGTTCAGGGTTCAGGGTTCAGGGTTTGGCACTGCAACGAGGAAGTTGCCATCCAAAGTAACCTAAACCCTAAACCCTAATCCCCTAAACCCTAAACCCGAAAATATGGCCCAGCAGATCTGGCTGCACGTTCCTCGTCGGACAAAATAGAGCAGCGTTCGACCAGAGGACTCCTTGAAACGAAGCCCTGAACTTAAAAGCCCTAAACCCTAAACCCTAACCCTAAACCCTCAACCCTAAACCCTAAACCCTAAACCCTAAGCCCTAAACCCTAAACCCTAAACCCCAAACCCCAAACCCCAACTTCCCAAACCCGAGCTTCACAAGCCCGAACTTCCCAAGCCCTAAACTCCTAGAGTTCAAAAACCCGGAGCCAGCTAAGCCCAAGCTCGGGAAGTTTGTGGCTTAAGGGTATCAGGGTTGTACGGTTCAGGGTTTAGGCTTTAGAGTTTAGGGTTTAGGGTTTAGGGTCCAGGGTTAGGGTTTAGGGTTTAGGGTATAAGGCTCAGGGTTTAGGCAGGGCTCAGGGTTTAGGGTTAGAGTAAAGGGTATAGGGTTTAGGGTATCAGGGGCTTTCCGGTTCAGCGTATAGGCTTTAGGGTTTAGGGTTCTTCGGGGTTTGGGCTCTGGGATTTAGGGCTATTGAGGGTTTCGGGTTTCGTGTTTTGGTGTTTAGCGTTAAGTTAGTGGAGCTTCAATACAACGCCCTGAGCCTGGAACCCAGAACTCAAGGCACAAATCCTAGGACCCCCAAACACACTGCGGCTCCCTCCCACCCCCCCCCCCCCCCCATTTCCGTACCCCTTTCTGTAGGTTTAAGGCGTTTTATATAGGGTTGGGGCTTATGGGGTCTCTAGGGTTTAGGGTCTAGGGTTCAAGGTTTGAAACATACACTCCCGACATCGAATCGCCGGGGCCAAGTACGATATGTGGCATCAGGGTTGGGTTTAGGGTTTAGGGTTTGGGGGCTTGAGGTTTTGGTAGGGTTCCCCAACACATGAAGACAACTCACTGCAAGAGTGGCAGTGCTAAAGCTCCCCTTCTTGCTTGGTACAGTTCTGGTTAAGGGCCTAGGGCTGGCAACCTCTGCTCAAATTTATGGCCTCCTCATGGGCATTTCTTCATAAACGCCCCCCCCCCTCCCCATCTCCCCCAGAAGAGAGAGAGAGAGAGAGAGAGCCAAAAGCAAGAGGGAGAGAGGAACCAATGACACAAAGAGTATACACCCCACCGAAAGAGCGCTCTTCTCTTGTAAGACTCAAAAGGCGCCTAAGCCTTGACTTCCGAAAGCCCCTCGTGGCGCCCCCCCCCCCATTACATTTCTTAATTTATCTTTTTTTGGAATAACATTTTTTTAACCGACATTTTCTTCCATTGTTTGATTTATGTCAGAATTGGATCAGGGTGTCGGCTGCTTCGGCTTCGAAGGGATCTCGTCCTCCAAATGGTTCAAGGGTCTCGAAAGGTCGACTCTTTGGGGCATTGGGGTTTAGGTTTTTCAGGGTGTTTTTTAGGGGTGTAGGGTTAAGGGTTTAGGTTTTTCAGGGTGTTTTTTAGGGTGTAGGGTTAAGGGTTGATTTAGGGTTTTGGGATTCAGGGGCTTTTGGGCTGCAGGGGCAGCCTTTAGCGTGTATTGGGGTAGGTTAGTAGCCCATTCACTCCTTCATTGCTTGCAACCCAGCCATGGGGGCTTAGGGTTTAGGGTTTAGGGTTTTAGGGTTTCGCTCTTTCACAGCTAACCAACACCGCCATGGTACGCTTCCAGCCGCTGTGCCCATGGCTGCTGTCCCTGGTGGTGGCCACAATGCCCGAGCTGCTTGGACACAGACTTCTTGGCTTGGGTGATGTTGGGTTTAGGTGTTCAGAATTTACAGTGGAGGGGCTCAGGGTGTAGGGTTTAGGTTTAGGGTTTAGGGTTTAGGGTTTAGGGTTCCTTGGGTTCAAACTTGCACAGCCCAATAGAGTCTTTGGGCCCCCCAAACTCCCTACAAAGGAGCATTCCCACTTCACGGGGTTTCGGGTTTAGGGTTTAGGGTTTAGGGTTTAGAGTTTAGGGTTTAGGGTTTAGGTTTAGGGTTTACTATAGTAGCAGGAAATAGTGGCCAATACACCCTTTGTTTTGGCACCCCTAGACCCTGGACCCTGTGCCCTAAGCCTAGTTTCAGAGCCTGTAGGAACAGGGTCCGATAGACGTGGGAGTTCATAAACGTTGTTAGGATCCTGTGTGCGATCGGGGTTTTTGTGCGTTGGGTACGTTAGCAGACCCTGGTCGTAGCCCCAGCTTTCAATCGAGGTTCTTTTTTGTTGGATACGTCAGTCGACCTTGCTTGTGCGCTTGTCGACATGCTCCTGGACTCTTGCTTGGCTCTGCTCACAAAACCCTGGAGCTCAGGGCTGCATTTTCAAGACGTTCTCTGCGGGTCTGCTTTGGGACCGCATTGATTGTCTGTGCGGACGTTGCCTGTCGCAGCACGTTGGGCCATCGGACCAAATTCCGGTCCTGATCAGTGACTGTACCAACTATGCCGTACGTTCGAGCTGTGTTTGCGCGCAAGCTTAACATTGCATCTGGTAGCACGCTTTTCTCGTGACTACCCCGGAACCCCACACCCCGAAACCTTAAGGCTGAGCCTGTACCCAAAGACGCCAACCTTGCATCCAACGACGAATCCGAACAATCGCGTCAAATTCCATTAGAGATCCCCTGTACCAGATATGGTTTATGGAATGCTTCTTACTTGAGGGGTATTCGAGTTTCTGGGATTTGGCGGGGGGTGGATAAACCCTGACCCCTCAAAACCTCCCGGAGGAGCCTGCCATAGCGGGCGTCTCTCTCCTTTCATTTGCAGCCGAACCATGAACGTGTTCATGAAAGTATGCTGAATCCCTCCCCACCCGACCCTAAACCCTAAACCCTAAATCCTAAACCCTAAACCCTAAACCCTAAACCCTAAACCCTAAACTAAAACCTAATCTAAACCGCTGGCGCACAAGGACTGCGCACTCCTCGAACAAGCCAGGAGAAGCCGAGGCTGGGTTTTCTCCAGCAAAGGTTTAGGGGTTTAGGGGTTTGGGGTTGGCAAGGTTTAAGTTTAGGCTGGGTTCGTCGGGGTTGTAGGGTTTTTTAATCTAGAAGTCTTGGGGCTTTGGGTCCTTGAGGTTGCGGGTGAAGGCTCCACACCCGTGAGGTCCCCCAAACCCAGGTCGGGCACCTGGCTGGGTGTGGGGGATGTCTGGCGAGGTTCGGGGTTGGGGGTTTCGGGGTTCAGGGTTTAACCCTGTAAACCCTCAAAGCCGTAACTAAAGCCCTAAAACTCCTAAAATCCTAAAGCCCCATAAACCCTAAACCCCGAAAGCTCCAAAAAACCGAAATCCCCTAAAGCCCCCCCAAAAACCCTAAAGCCCTAAACCCCTAAACCCCCAAAGCTCCAAAAGCCCTAAAGCCCCTAAAGCCCTAAAACCCTAAAGCCCCCAAAACCC